ACAGTGGGTCCTGCTGGACTCTGCGGGTCTCAGGCAAGCCTGAGAGCAGGAGGCCTTGCTGCCCAGTGGCAGGCTGACCGAGGCTAGTCATTTAACCCCTCCGAGCCTTACTTTCCCATTCATCAGATGGGAACACTGGTACTCCCTAGGTTGTGTGAGGTGAGTGAGATAGCTGTCATAGGGACAGCCAGGTTTGCAGAGCACTTCACTGTTTGCAGAGCTCTTCAGAAGCCACTTCATCTGACCCTTTAAACCCCTCTGGAACAGGCAGGGTCAAAGGCCAGAGGTTTTGTGACCTGCACAGGGTTCCATAGGCCCTCTAGCCCTGGCATGTGGCTCTAAGTCTAAGGCTCTTTCTAGCTTGTCCCATATGCCTTCCAAGTTCAAGGTCTATGTAAGGCACTGTTATTATCCTGAGAGCCAGCCCAGGTTTCTCAATGGTCCCTGTGGGCTGGGGAGCCCCCGGCAGGGGCAGCAAAGTCACAACAGGAGCAGCAAGGCTGAGGTCCCATTCCCCTGCCCGCCACAGTCCTTAAGGTCTCATCACTTAGTGTCGTGTGTTTGGGCGGTAAGTAGCTCAGTTCCTGTTATTCCCCCCTGGACAATCAGGCAGGAAATTCCTCACTTTTGTTTCCTTAAGAGGTCAAATACTTTTCTCTCTTGCAGAAGTAAATAAAGCCTGTGTGCTGAGTTGGCAGTTTTGCACATGAGCCTGCCCCCTGGGGTAAGGCAGCAGCCCCCTTCCCTCTAGCCTTAGGTAGCCCTACCCAGGGGCCCAGGGGCACCAGGAAATTCAGGCAGCCTACGCCCAGGCACTGACAGCCCAGGTGGCATCCTGGGCATGGCCTGCAAAGGCAGGAAGATTTTTATTATTTATTTATTTTACTTTTAATTTTTCTTCATTTATTTATTTTTGAGATGGAGTCTTACTCTGTTGCCCAGGCTGGAGTGGCACAATCTCAGCTTACCACAACGTAGAACTCCCGGGTTCAAGTGAGTCTCCTGCCTCAGCCTCCCCAGTAGCTGGGATTACAGCTGTGTGCCACACCTGGCTAATTTTGTATTTTTAGTAGAAATGGGTTTGCACCATGTTGGCTAGGCTGGTCTCGAACTCCAGACCTCAGGTGATCCGCCCACCTCAGCCTCCTGAAGTGCTGGGATTACAGGCGTGAGCCACCACACCCGGCTGGCAGGAAGATTTTTAAAGCACACGCAGGGCTACAGCCTAGGATAATGTGCAAAGAGACTGTGCCTGTTTACAGAAGCACCAGTCCCGTTCCCCTCCCGCACCCAGAATCCCCATAGAAGAGAGGGAGGTCACTGTGTGACAGTGTGCTTGTTGAGAATGCAGGCATGTGCCATCCCAGCTCCCAGAGCATGCTGAGGACCAGGAAGGACAGGAGGGTGGCCTGGGAACAGGCAGGCCCAGAGTCACAACACCGAGCACCTTTGCACACATGGCTCCCCTTGCTCGGGCTGGGGTAACTTGTGCTTCCACGACTGCAAGGAGCCGAGTCCTCTCGCTAAGCCCACAGCAGTTGAGAGATGTGTTGGAAGAGGCTGCTTTGAGCACCCATTCAGACAGGACAGCTGTCAGAGCACAGGACAAGCCTGCAGAACCCACCAACACTCAAGCTCCACAACTTGGACCACTGGGCAGAGACATAAAATATCTTCTGCTAGCCTTGGTGAGTTTTTTTTTTTTTTTTTTGAGACGGAATCTTGCTCTGTCTCCCAGGCTGGAGTGCAGTGGTGTGATCTTGACTCACTGCCGCCTCCACCTCCCGGGTTCAAGTGATTCTCCTGCCTCAGCCGCCTGAGTAGCTGGGATTATAGGCACCTGCCATCGTGCCTGGCTAATTCTTTAGTAATTTTTAGTAGAGACAGGTTTTACCATCTTGGCCAGGCTGGTCTTAAACTCCTGACCTCATGATCTACCCACCTCGGCTTCCCAAAGTGCTGGGATTACAAGTGTGAGCCACTGTGCCTGGCTGGTGGCACTTTCTATTATGAAAAATGTTATATACAGAAGTGAGTAGAATAGTAAAGGGCATCCCAGTTACCTATTACCTGACCGCAAACATTCATCGACCCATGGCCAGTTCTGTCTCACCCTCCACTTCTTCCTCCCCATACTACTATTTTGAAGCAAATCCCAGATACATCATGTCATCTACAAATATTTCAATATAGATCTATCAAAGATATTAAGAAACATAACCTCCAAACTATCATCTCACTTGAAAAAATGATCAGATACTGTTATTCAAATTTCCTATTGACTCATAAATTCGTATGTTTTAGACTTTGTTGGAATCAGGATCCAAATATCCACCCAGTGTGATTAGTCTTAACGTCTTTTAAAGTGTGTTTTAATCTAGAGGCTCTTCTTCCTTCCTTTTTTTTTGGTTATCCTTGCTAATTATTTGTTGAAGGAAACATGTTGTTTGTCTGGTAAGTTTTCCAGGGTCTGGAGTTTGCTAATTGCATCCCCATGGTGTCTTTAACAGGTTCCTCTGTCCTTTGAATTTCCTGTACATTGATAGTTTGTCTAAAGGCTTGATCAGATTCAGACTCATTTCTTTACTGATTCTTTTTTTTTGCAAGACTCCTTCAAAGAACATATTGGGTCCTCCTCTCCAGAGGCACATCCCATCTGGTTGTCTTGCTTTTGTGATATTGGCAGCCCAGGACCTGCGACACCGGAATCCAGACATTCCGCAGAAGTAGCAGAGTGGCAGTGTTCTCTTCTCTCATGAAGCTCTTTCCATGGAGTAGCTAGAACCCTTCTGTAAACAGACTTCCCATCATCTACTGTTTGTTTACCCACTGGTAGAGTTCAAAAAAGAAAGCTGGGTAATTAACTTTTCTCCCTTTATTTACCAGTCAGAATAATAAGTTAGCGTCTCCACTTTCATCACTAATTTTAAAAGCTTCCATCATCTGGAAATGATTCAAGCAATATATTTATTGAGTTTCATGCTTCAGTAGGCTTAACAATTTACAAAACTCAGATAACCCAAATGATGAGTTCACCAAGATAGCCAAGGGTGTTAGCAAATGTAGATACTAACATGTTAATAAACAGAGTACACCCACTGGTTCAGTCTTTGGAGGCAGATTGGAGTTTGATTCCCGCTTTGCTGATGAGAAGACTGAGCCCCAGAGGCTGTGAGCTGCCCTGCTTAGGTAGCCGGTTAGAGTAAGATCCCAGGTGCTGTGCCTAGAAGCAAGGGCAGAGGTAAAGTGATCATCTGCTCATGTTACTTCTAGATCCCACGGCTCCTGGCTAGATTGAATAGGCTGTCCCCTCTTTTGCTTCTGAAATACCCAGGGGTCTGGCAAGATCCCAGCTCTGAGGACACAGAATGCCAGCCACCAGAACATGCAGCCTTGAGAGGTGGTTGTTTACACTTTTGCCCATTTCTCAGAAATGTGGGAGAAGCTCTCTTCCCGGACGTCTTTCCAGGGATCCGGCCAGCTTATGCTCTCTGACTCCCCCACCCCCAACCCCAAATACTCATATTCTCATGGCCTGTATTGTGTACTTACTGCATTGATTTTTGCTAAAGGCCTTTGTTGTCTTTGTTTCTGTGTTAGCAGGGTGCCAAGTCACCATGCTTAAAGCTGGTAATGAAGTTTATCTGAATGAATGAGAATGAACAAAAACATAGACTTTCGTCTCATCCATTTGTATTTAGACCCTTCTTTCTGACCTTGCCATAAATCCCTCGAGAGCAAGGATTCTTGTGTACTCATGTAGCCAACACTGGGCACTCAGGGTTGGGGGCGGGGCACTATTTAGCATTTTTAGGTCCAGAAAGAGGAAGCAGGAGTGGGAAGGCAGGTGGTGGACACGGCCAGGCCAGAGCCTGCAAGCCGTCTTCCTCTGTGTGAACGAGTTTGCTCCTCCCAGCACCCCTAGGGCTGCCTGAAGGTGGAAGAGCCTTTCTGTACATCCCCAGCCTCAGACTGCATCCGTACCGTGAGCACTGTTACAGGTGCCTTGCAGGCGGAGTGGTCTCCTAAGGAGGAGCTGCCACCATTTCTCATTTTACAAATGAGGAAACAGAGGCCCAGAGAAATTAAGACACTCTCCTGGCTGGGCGCAGTGGCTCACGCCTGTAATCCCAGCACTTTGGGAGGCTGAGGAGTGCGGATCACTTGAGGTTGGGTGTTTGAGACCAGCCTGGCCAACATGGTGAAACCTGTCTCTACTAAAAACATAAAAATTAGCTAGGCATGGTGGCAGGTGCCCATAATCTCAGCCAGTCAGGAGGCTGAGGCAGGAGAATCGCTTAAACTCGGGAAGTGGAGGTTGCAGTGAGCCGAGATGGCGCCACTGCACTCCAGCCTGGGCGACAAAGCAAGACTCCATCTCAAAAAAAAGACACTCTCCCAAAGCCACCCAGCTAGTGAGCAGAGGAGCCAAGACTTGAACCTAGGTGGCCAGGTGCAGAAAGTTATTCCTGCCACCTGCTCCAGTTTCTCGCTAGTAGAGAAAGAGGCCTCCCAGAAGAAACTTCCACTGCCTCCCATGGGGACCTGTAGGACCAGTCCATACACTCCAGACCTCAGTGCTGGAAAAGTTGCCCCAAAAGACCCAGTGAAGCCCAAATCTCCCATTGTGAGCAAGGAGGGGGGTTGGAGGGCAGTTGCTGCCTCACCGCCGGGTTGATGCGACACCCACACCTGCAGGAAGAAGTGCTCTCCTCCCTGGCTTTTTGCCCTAGGTTTAAACAACCCCAGTTTCTTCCGGGCCCTCAATGCAAGGCACAGCATAGGAATCAAGGAGGTAAGAAGACACACACTGAACATAGATCCTCTTGAAAACCTCTGCACAGAAAATTATGGGAACATGACCAAGCATGGTTGCTCACACCTATAATCCCAGCACTTAGAAGGCCGACATGGGCGGATCACTTGAGACTGGGAGTTCAAGACCAACCTGGCCAACATGGCAAAACTGTGTCTCTACTAAAAATGCAAAAACTAGCCAGGTGTGGTGGCGCACATCTGTAATTGGAGCTACTCAGGTGGCGGAGGTATGAGAATCATTTGAACTGGGGAGGCAGAGGTTGCAGTGAGCTGAGATGACGCCACAGAACTCTAGCCTGGGCAACAGAAAGAGACTATCTCAAAAAAAAAAAAAAAGAATGGGAACAGTCAAGCTCACTCCATCCCAGCCCAAGGCACAAGGTGTGGTCCCAGCGTGCACCCAGAGGCTCAGCCAGCTTCCCGGCTGGGAGCAGTTCTTCCTGACCTTCGGTTTAGCTAAGCTCAGGCGATGCTGAATTGAGTGTGGCTTCCCAAACACGCCAGGTTTCCGCAGGTGTCCGTGGATTTGCAATAGGGCCTCCCTCCTGTAGCCTCCTCTGCCTTCTGGCCTCTGCACCTGCACACACCTCCACAGTGGTCATTTTCAGTGCTTCCGCAAATATTTATTTAGCACCTTCTGTATGCCAGACCCTCATTTTAACGCTGCGGGAATAGCAGGAAACAAAACAGGCAGACTCCTCACCTCTGTGTCGTTTATATTCGAGTTGGGGAGGGGGAAGCTAGACAGTAAACAGGTAAACGCAAAACAGATGATGTCAGATGAAAAAAAGAGCATTAGATAAAAATTAAGTATGGAAAGTAAACAGTGCTGGGGGAATCTGGCAACATGGCAGTTTTAGAGATGGGAGAACAGGACCGGGCATGGTGGCTCACGCCTGTAATCCCAGCACTTCGGAAGGCCGAAGTGGGCAGATACTTGAGGTCAGGAGTTTGAGACCAGCCTGGCCAACATGGTGAAACCCTGTCTCTACTAAAAAATATATAAAAATTAGCTGGATATGGTGGCATGCACCTGTAATCCCAGCTACTTGAGAGGCTGAGGCAGGAGAATCACTTGAGCTGGGAGGCAGAGGTTGCAGTGAGCTGGAATCCGCCACTGCACTCCAGCCTGGGCGACAGAGCAAGGCTCTGTCTCAAAAAAAAAAAAAAAAAATAGATGGGAGAATAGTACAGATAGCTCCAAAAGGCTGATGAGGTGTGTGAGGACCTGAAGGAGGCAGGAGAATGAGCCACGTGCATGGGATTGGGGGGAGGTGGGGCAGGGGTATTTCAGGCAGAGTGGATGGGAAGTGCAAAGGCCCTGTGGCGTTCTAGAGAAATTGTTACTCTGCAGTTCGGAAATTCTTTGCTTGCTTGTCTCTCCATTTACACAGGGAGGATAAAAGTAAACCTGTGGCCAAGAGCCTCATGAAACTGGAGCTCATTCCAGAGGAGAGTTTTGTCTTAGGCTGAGCAGAAACTAAGAACCGAGTTTGCTCTCTGGTCCAAGAAAAGGGCTGAAATCTGCCCTTGGTCCTTCTGAATGAGTCTCGAATCCTTCAGGCCGCCTCTACCCAAGTGCCCCCAGAGCCATCCACACCTGCAGGATTCTGGGAGGCGGGGAGAGAGTTTGTCTAAGAATCAGAAATCTGTGATTTGGACCTCTGATTCATTTGCGAGGAAGTGACTTCTGCTTTCTGAGCCTCAGTTTCTGCATCTATGAAGTGAGCCTGTAGGTTCCCACCCTGCCCACATTGCAGGGTGCTTCTAAGAAAGATTGGGAAACGTTTTCTCAAACATAGTGCTCCTCACAGAGGCTGGATATGGTCGTCATTGCTGCTGCTGTTGGTTTTTTGGATAATTCTATCACCTTCAGTGTCAGACCCTCTCCAGACCTAGCAGTCCCCAGATTAACCCTTCAAGCTCTGCTGGATGAGCCTCTCATGGCACGGCATCTCCAGCATGTTGGAAGAGAGCCCTAGAACCTTGCCCAGGGTTTCTTGTGTGGGAGAGCATCTGCTGACACCCATGGAACTCTGGCATCTGCCACTGTCCAGAAAGCCTTCCTCCCAGGAAGAGTCTTGGCACATACCTCTTGCTGCCAGCAATTCTAAAGGGATGGTCAGGCACTCAGCTTGTGGGGCTGAGGCCATTTGTCCCGCCTTCCGTGCCCTCACCCTTCCTGGCTCTGGCCACATTGTTTTCTCAGGTCATGAGAAATGAGCCTCTGAAGGCCGGTGCTTCTCTGCTATGGGACCTTGGCTGCATGACCTCCCCTCTCTCTGCCTCAGTTGTCCCCGCTATAAAATGGGCATCATAATAGTTAATAATTATAACACCTCCTTTATAGAGTAACGTCAAGGATTAATAAGATGTAAAGTTTTAGAACACGTCTGACACACAGTAGGAACTAAATAATGACTGCTTTTTTTTAAGTTGATAAGAACTTTAAAAACTGATGTTTTTAAACTTTGTTTAAAAACTAAGCTCATGGCCGGGCAAGGTGGCTCATGCATGTAATCCCAGCACTTTGGGAGGCCAAGGGAGGCAAGTCACCTGAGGTCCGGGGTTCAAGTCCAGCCTTGCCAACATGGCAAAACCCTGTCTCTACTAAAAATACAAAAATGAGCTGGGCGTGGTGGCTAAAAATACAAAAATTAGTCTCCGCCTCCTGAGTTCAAGCGATTCTCCTGCCTCAGCCTCCTAGGTAGCTGGGATTACAGGTGCCCACCACCACGCCCAGCTCATTTTTGTATTTTCAGTAGAGATGGGGTTTCACTATGTTGACTAGGCTGGTCTCGAATTCCAGCCTCAGGTGATCCACTCACCTCGGCCTCCCAGAGTGCTGTGATTACGGGCGTGAGCCACTGCACCCAGCCTTGAGAGTGCACTTGATTTAAGCCCTCAGATTGTGGCAATGTGTAGCCCCAGCAAACTGACACAGTGGCTTCCTACTTCCCTGCAGAGAAACCTCGGCTTCTCTGTGCAAGGCCCCTCCCTGACCTTCACTTCTAGAAAGTACTGAGCTCTTTGCTGCCTCAGGGCCTTTGCACGTGCCCTTCCCTCACATTCTTCCTCTCTTGGCATGTGCGGTTGCTTCTCCCTCTTTCGGGCCTCACAGAGGTCTTCCCAGGCTGTGCCAGCCGCAGCCCACGATTCCCGGGTTACTTCTCATCGCTGACCTATTGTGTATTTAAATAATTGCATTTAAATAATAATTAAACATGTGTCATGTGCTTATCTGTCTTCCTAGCTCCAACATATTCTCCATGGGAATAAAGACCTTATCTGTCTGGCTGGGCTGATGCCTGTAATCCCAGCACTTTGGGAGGCAGAGGTGGGCGGACCACTTGAGGTCAGGAGTTCAAGACATGCCTGGCCAGTATGGTGAAACCCCGTCTCTACTAAAAACAGAAAAATTAGCCAGGCATGGTGGCGCAAACCTGTAATCCCAGCTAATCAGGAGTCTGAGGCACGAGAATCGCTTGAACCCGGGAGGCAGAGGTTGCAATGAGCCAAGATTGCACCACTGCTTTCCAGCCTGGGCGATAGAGCGAGACTCAGTCTCGAAAAAAAAAAAAAAAAAAAAAAAAAAAGACCTTATCTGCCTCGTTTACCCAGACTCCCCAGCTGCAGCTCAGTGCCTGCCACAGAGTTGCCCATAGCAAGTTTTTATTGAATGAATAAACATAAACCCTTCTATTAATAAGGCTGTGGCTAAGTCCTATTTATCTTGTTCTTGACCTAAGAGATGATTCGTTGTCTTGCAGATACTTTTGCAGATACTGTGATCTTAGTTTTGTATGACTGAATTTAAAGCCTTAGAATTCAGGCTGGGTACAGTGGCTCATGCCTATAATCCCAGCACTTTGGGAGGCTGAGGCGGGTGGATCACTTGAAGTCAGGAGTTCGAGACCAGCCTGGCCAACATGGTAAAACCCCGTCTCTACTAAAAATACAAAAATTAGCCCAGCATGGTGGCAGGTGCCTGTAATCTCAGCTACATGGGAGACTGAGGCAGGAGAATTACTTGAACCTAGGAGCCAGAGGTTGCAGTGAGTCGAGATTGCACCATTGCACTCCAGCCTGGACAAGAAGAGTGAAACTCCATCTCAAAAAAAAAAAAAAAAAGCCTTAGAATTCTGGGGGATACCCCCATGTCACCCCTACAAACCATTTGCACAAGCCTGCCTCTAGGATGTGATCATTAGAGCAAACACTAGCTACTCCTAGTAGTGAGTTCTCCATTCATGGAGGTGTGCAAATTTTCACTATACTAACTCATCAATCTTTGCCATTTCCAAGAACCCCATGGGGTCTTTGGGGTTCTCCCCTCTGATCTCCCTGGCCTCCCCCGAGCCTGCAAACTCCCTTTTCTCCCTCTCCGCTTTTCTGGGCCACCGTTTGAGCTCTTTTCGCAATAAGACAAATCAAAGTCTATCTCAGAAGTCTAAAGGGTGTACATCAACTCACACATATAATTTTACTGTGACATAGTTTATCAGTCCTGAACGTATATTTAGTGACAAGCTTGGCTAATCTTTCATCTAATTATACTCATTAACATTTAAATATGTAATCATTAATATATCTGGGCATGGCGGTCTAAATATTTTATAGAGGTCTTAATTACAGCAGATTTCCAGTCTTGCCATAAAGCTCTCGCATCCCTCAATTAAAGGGATGACGTCAGGTAGCTCCAGGGCCCCGGCTGGGGAATGGCGGTGGCCAGGGTCCCTCACTTTCTGGTTACACCATAGAAGCAGTGACTATCAGTGGGAGAAGACAGGAAAATTGTTCTCTGTGAATTTTTGGGGGCCACACCTCTGTCTACAGCCATCATGGGGTCCCCTGGAAGAGGGGGTCTCACAGGAGTCAGACAGGCAAAGATGACAGTGTGGATTTTGTGGATCTGAGAGCATGGCTGGGGTCCTGGGCCACGGTGTCTGGTCGACACTGAATGCCAGAAGTAGACAGACTCATCCACCTGCAGCCCCCGAGCAGCTGCCCTCCCCTCCATTAACAGCTTCTTCACACCTTTGAAGTCTCTGTGGATTCTGAAGTTCATCTTCAGATATCGTTTCCACCTATGAGGTTGGTGGGTTGTTATTGTGCCCATTTCGCAGAGTTCAACACTGAGGCTCTGAGAAGTTGCTGGGTATCCTGAAGGCACATGGTGAGCGGGAGGCCGAGCAGGACCTGACTCCTTAGTGACTGCTGTGAGTCCCATCTGGAGTGAGACTCATCTCATCTCAGCAGCCATACTGGGTCCATGAGGAGACCCAATATGTGCCTCCACACCCACTAGGGTGACCAAAGGCTTTGCGG